ATTATATTGTGGATAGGGATAAGTAGATGATAATGTTGAAGGAGGTGGACGAGAAGGTAAAGGTGGGTGAGCAGTTTGATTAGTTGTTGATAAAATAAATTGAGATGATTGTTGTGATACTTGAGGACGATAAGCAGATGATGGCGAATGATACATTGGACGTATTGATGGTTGAGATGTCTAGAAAGAACAGAAAAAATTTAGAATATAGAGAGAAATAGAACAAAATATATCTTTACTGAAAGAGGATTATAAACGTTGGATGGAGATGGATTTTGACTCATAGGATAGGTAGTTGTTGGTGGTAGATTTGAATTAGTATTATATCCATATGGTGGCGATAATGTTGGATTTATATTTGTATTATAAACGTTTGCGAATGGCGGAGTTGAATTTCCATTTGCAGTAGAAACATTTGATAATGGTGGAGTTGATATTGTATGTGTATTAAAGGGTGGGTGTGGGTGTGAGTGTTGGTGTGGATGTGGGTGTGGGTGTGGGTGCAAGTTTGGGTGTGGATGTGCATATGTGAATTTAAGCGTATTCTTCTTTTGACATGCACACCCATATGCACACACCCCCACTTCACACTCACACCCACCCACACCCCACACTCACACCCACCCACACCCACACCCACCCACACCCCACACCCACCCACATCCACACCCTCACACCCACCCACATCCACACCCTCACACCCACCCACACCCATCCACACCCCACACCCACACCCACACTTAATGGTTTGGATTACGATTGATCCAAGGTCACCATTGGATAGAGCTTGTCGAGTTGTATTTGGAACCGAGCTGGAACACTTGGAACACGTTCCTGGATGAACATGGGAAGGTTTTAGTAAGTAGGTTTGCCTTTTCCCATAGAAAAAGGGCAGTATTTTGGATTTTTATCACGATTGGTTTGGGCTATGGAAAATCCAAGGTTATCATTAGATAGAGCTCGTCGAGTTCTACTTGGAACCGGGTTGGAACACGTTCCTGGACGAAGATGGGATGGTTTTACTCGAATATGGTGCTAAATTCACCTACGTACTATTAAAGTATTCAATTATTGAATAGTTGAATAGTTGAATTCAACTTTCAAGTTTGACACTACTGGAAGCTTTAAAAAAAACAAGGACATTCATCGAAACAAGCATCAGCAAAAATTCGAAAACGTGAACAACAAACAACTGGACAAGAATATTTTTACAAAACCCGAAAAATTATCACGTTAAATTTCATTTTCCATTACCATCATCACTTAATTCACCTATATTAGGTGCATATGAAGTTATATTTAATTATGGAAATCATGAAGCAATATTTGAAAAACTTAATTTTTGTATTGATATGACTAGTCGTATTGCGATTGTTGGAGCAAATGGTGTTGATATGTAAGTTGTTAAATTATGGCGAAACATGATCTAATACGAGTATTGAAATACATATAGGATAGAAATTTGTAGCTATTCCCTATTCTTCCCTTACACACCATGACAGACGGTTCACAAAGACCTGAGAGAAGACGAGTTGTTAGATGCTATTTAGTTTAAATGCGGGTAGTGCTGCTTTCTCTGAACTTCAGATTAGAAAAATATGCACAACTCTTGTAAACAACCATGTGAATATCTATGTTCATTGAAATACGACCTTCGAAAGAAGAGTTTCTGATCTGTCTTACTGAAAAAATTTAATGTTGAAGCTGAAATATTTCATAGAAAAAAACAGATATTGTATTGTGAGTTTGTTTTATTGCTAAACTCATGTTCTGCTCGTACAGATTCTAGATGATCAATATATGTTCTGACATCCGTCTAATGATGTTGTTGACTGAGGATAACTTTATTGAAAATAATATAGATTATTAATTGAGACCATGTCTTACAACAAATGCAGATATATATCTGTTTTTTTTTGTTTAATTAGGTAAGAGTACATTTTTAAAATTATTAATAGGTGTATTGAAACCAACTTGTGATGAAATTCGTCGAAATTATCATCTTCGTATTGGTCGTCTTGGTCAGCTTGCTGGTGAACAATTCAATTTAGAATTATTAGCTATTGAACATTTAAGACAAGCATTCAATATGTCTGAACAAGATACAAGAAAATCTCTTGAAAGTGTTGAATTATCTGGTCGTGTTCATCTAATTAAAATCAAAGATTTATCTGGTAGACAAAAGCTCGTGTTGCACTTTCAGATTTAATAGCACATGCGCCTCATGTTCTAATTCTTGATGAACTAATAAATAATGTTGAGATTGAATCAATTGATGCATTAGTTGGTGTAATTATTGTTTCACATGGCGAAAGGTTTATTCGAGAAACTAATTGTCAATTGTGAATTATTGAAAACAAACAAATAAATGCGATTTGATGGTGATTTTGATGATTATAGAAAAGAATTATTTGATTCATTAGGTAAAGCTTTGATTCATAATCCAAGTGCAGTAGCAAAGACAGTTTCAACTTTTTAAGTTTTTATTTTCTACTCGTTGTATTTCTATTAGTTTTTTTTCTGTAAAGACAATGGAATAAGAACATTGATGTAGAAAGAAGATAAAACACTCTCATAGAAGACATATCATCAAAGGCACAATGTATTTTTATACCAAAAAACTTATTAGCGAAAACCAATGTAGAGTTAACTGATTAATTCTTAGGAAGTTTCAACCGTTTCATTCAATCAAATTGTCATTATTTCTTTATCATCGTTGTTCAAAGTAAAAATTTTTACATGATGCTATACATAGTTTATTTTACATATCTTCAGATTTACATTGGTCTAAAACTGTGTGTTTGTAAAAACAATGGCACCTATGATACTGAAGAAATATAGTTATCATAATATTTTATTCGGATTTTATTCAATTATTTTCTTGACTACTTGATTTTTTGGTGTACTACTTATTCAATTGAAATCTACATAAGCTTCTCTTCTATCTTGAGGGAGTGGATGTGGGTGTGCGTGTGCGTGTAGGTATGAATGTGCTTGGTGTAACTAAAGTCCTTCTCTTCGTCATTACACACACATTCGATATCCACACCCTAAATGTTCATACTAGATTCAAAGCATAAAACGACACGTTTCGATTGTTGTTCAAACAATCATCATGAGGTATTTTTAGACTCGAGAATGCTGTATCAAATTTGAAGATTACAAATTGTAAAACACCTAAATCTAAATAAAATTTGTCGGATAAGGGAAGGTGAGTGTGAGATTGAGTTTAAAATAGATATTATTCGAATGAGAAAAGGTTTAAAGAGTTCTTAAAAAACCATCTTGAGTCATTTCATTCTTTCACAGATCTATATTCATATTAATACAATGAATATGTCCCCGTGATATGCTCTATTTAGTAGGAATGACTACATAGAAAGAATCATCTGAGCAGGATGAGAATTGAACCCACATTTTCCAATAACCGATTGGCTGCTCACTGTAAAAAAATTAGGATAATAATAAACGGAAAAAGGGTTTTAGAATTTGCAACGTGTAATAAACCTTTTTCGTCTGTGTTTGACAAAGTTAAGAAACGATTTTTCCGTTTATGACGTGGAAATAGGTTATATTAGACATATCAAAAACGGATAAAAGGGTTTATTACGCGTTGCAAAATCATAAACCCTTATATTTCACAGTGCTCTACCTGTTAAGCTACCCACGACATCATCTTAGTTGCAAGGTAACAACATATATCATATCCATTTTACTCATATGAATATAATTCTATGGAGAAGTAAAATGACTATAGATAGTTCTTTATGAACTCATTTAATGCCTTCTCATTCGAGTTACATCTATTTTAAACTCATCCTATAAATGAAGGCCTTGTTGCATATTATTATTTTCTTTGTCTTCGAATCGGATAGACGTTAAAATAAAATATTAACTCTACTGTCCTGAAATATTGATTTATTTCGTGGATAAGAATTCTAGTTTGGTATTGGGTGTGGATGTGGGTATAGATTTGTTCCTAATAATACCTGCGCTCGCAGTCACACTCTCCATTTTATTTCATCCAAACTTTCGAATTGATCCATATTTGATCGTTCTGTTACTCATTTTGATGTTGTGTATATGTTCAAGTGTTATATGACTTTCTTTTCTGCACCGTTATGTCATGTATATTGAACGATAGAACGAACAAATGAGAGAGCGAATCGAACCGGCTTTTTCTGAATCGAGTTCGGTTTGGTTCGATTTTGCTCTTAAAAAAATGGTTCGAGTTTAGTTCGTTTCGACCTTATTTTTCGCTCTGTTTCATATGAATGATGTAGATTCTATACGATATTATGATATCCTACTCAATTATCATATTATTTTTTTTTAACAAGATTTTCTTCTTTCTTTCGGATGGAAAGCCAACACTTTTTTACACATAAACAATATTAAAAATATTCTATTCGACAGATTTATATTGTTAACAACTATTTTATAACATATAGATTTATATTATTTCTATATTTACAGAAAGAAATATGACAAATTCTTGAAGATAATGTGCAGAAATAAGTGTCCATGTCATGAAAAAATACATCGGAATTCGAAGACTCATGGCGATATATGCAATATAAAAGGTTTGAATAATTGTCTAAATTATTTTCCACATATTACTGATCCGAGGCGGAAACAGCAAAGACTACAGCCTTGAAGCCTCATGAAGTTTTTTGCAGCACAGCTTCTCAAAAGAGTTGCTTTTCAAATAAACATTCTTCTATTTAAATAAGTAGTTGATAATTAGTGAAACAGAATGCATATGTACTAACTGATTTAAGCATTAGCTGTTGAACGTTTTGTCTTTGTACTTTTATGCACTTTCTTTTTTAATTAGGCAGATAATTTTTCAAATCACATGAGATAAGTCTTTTACAAACTAACAGAAACATCATCAACATAATGCAGTATCAATTTTATTCGATGCAAATACCATTGGTTCTAATAATTGTCGATGTAATAATATATTTTTTAATTTTGAATACGCTTCGATAAACCTTTTTCTTTTATTTGTCTCAAAAAACAAAATTAACGTCTTAATAGATTTTCATGAGAAATTAAACGTGATCTTTTTTACGATATATCGAACCAAGTAACTAAAAATTTTAAAAAACATGATCCAAATCTTAATCTAGAAAAACCTAATCTTAGCAATATATTCATTTGAAATGGTTCGATATTCGCACATCTTTAACTAATGAATTACATGAAACAGTTATTTATCAAACCATTCAAGCTAGATAAATAGCTGACAAGTATTTAAATAGCCAATTTGAAGTCTCTGGAAGTATTGAAGCCAGCTATTGCTTCTTCCCCCCTCCCTCTCCAATTCCTACATATAAAAAAAAACAAATCTGCATACTCCTTCACAGTTGCTCTTGTTTTATGTTTATGATTTGTTTTCTTTCTGTCGTTGGAGAGATAGAAAAAAAATCCTATTTGTTTATGGCTCTATAGTCAGTCAACTCACATTGCTTCTTTCTTAATTACAGAGGCGTTACTAATAGGCTGTGATGTTGTTGAACGGATGAAAAGGCACTTATGACAGTTGTAAAAAAGAGATACTCAGATGTATCGCTGCCATCATTTTATATCTATCTCATCAAAGATAAAAATACACCAAAGAAAAAAAATCACAGTAGCAGTCGCTGCGCTTCTTACATCACTCTATTAAAAAGGTTTTAATCATATATATGCTTACTGATTTATTTTACATTATCGATTTCTCGCTGTCAATTGTGATATCGACTGTTGGTTTAATCTTCGGTCTTATCACGATTATTATCGTTGCTAATCATCGACCAAGTCGCACAATCACTAATCTTGTTACTTGTAATACGATTGTCCTCATTATAGTTTATTGTATTTGCAATATCATCTCGTGTATCTATGGTTTTAATGAAGATTGGGCAGTTCAACAACGGGGATGTATTTTACGAGCATTTTTCTCTCTCATGATGCCTACATCTATTAGCTACTCATATCTTCTTCAATCTATCAGTCGTCTCTTTTTTACTGTCTTCTCCAAACATAAAAATCTTGCTACTTATCGTATTCATTGGTATATGATTGCTTTCAACTGGATTATTGGTATTTTGATTTCAATTGTACCATTTTTCTTTGAAGGTACTTTCGTATACGAAAAAGAATCGCGTTTTTGCACAGTCAACCATAAAAGATTCTTGATATCCATATGTCTTATAGCTATTGCATTGATGGTTCCACTGAACGGTTCCATGATTATTTATAATATAATCTTCTATCATGCTCGTAGATCATCTCGACGGCTTACTCCTTCAATATCCAATACTGTGAATGCTCATATATCCAATGCTAGACGTGAAATAAAACTTGCACGAAATATGATCATGATAGAGACACTTTACGCAGGTGCCGGAACACCTCTTTTAATACTTTGTTTTTGGCTAGTGATACAACCCAAGTGTTCACCACCGGAATTATTCTATTTGTTGAGTTACAATTCAATATCACTTTTTGGCACTCTTATGATAATTATGCTATTCTTGATGAACAAGCCAGTGAAAGACATTGCTCTTAAATATCTACACTGTGAATAACAACATATGCATCTGTATCCAGTATCTACTCAATAACAGTAATAGGGGTGTCACACTTACCACCATTTCCACTTACCAGGTAAGTGGTAAGTGGGTGTGGGTGTGGGTGTGAGTGGGTTTGGGGCGTTGGTGTTGGGTACGGCTGTTCTCAACATGAACAATCACACCCATACCCACACTGAATACTCGTCGTTGCGTAAATACTGAAAGAATGAATCATTAGATTTTCTATGACTGTGAGTAAAGATTTTAAGACATAATTGATTAAAATCTTCATCTAGACGCATTTTTACTCGTTTGCCGGTATTGATAGCTCTTTCGTTTGAATGAAATGCACTGTGTGTATGTTTTTTTCTCAATGTTTCAGCTTTTATAAAAAAGATGAAAAGAGACGATTTGATTTGAGTTATATTATATATGCAATACTACTTGCGATGCACAAACCGTTTTAGCTGCTCTCACTCTCATTCAGTTATCCAATACGTATATAACAATACAAATACACAGTTATAATAATTGCCGGGAAAAAGTAAAAACGGATGAACTTACGAAATCTGACTTCTCTAAAATATCAATATCTTATGAATGTATTAAATAATAGAGCAAACATCGATGTTTTCAGACTATCGAACCACATCTCTTACAATACTCTACATGACGGCATCACTTGACTTGACCTTTTCTCAAAGGAACGTGATCTGCCATTGACACATAAAATTATGGATAACAAACGATTGTATTGATTCCATCGAATCGCATTTTCTTCTTGATGGATTCTTATCGATACTTATATCGGGTGTGCATGTCACCAATGTGAAAATAATCAATAATCCATTAAAATATAATTTTATTGATTATATCTTTCCAATTGTCAACAATGATTCTTATAAAGAAGTTTTGAATGCATTTTTTTCGAAGTCCAAAATTAAATTGATTTTTAATTATGATCTATTTATGGTTATACGTCATTTGTGTGATGAATATACAAATTTCGCACAATCTTCTCCACCTAACAATGTACCAAATACAAATCTATTCAAGAAAATATTGGTTGAAAGTCTGTCCGATGCTACAAATCCAAGAAGAATAATAAATGATTTCTCAGATCTTCAATATCACAGAGATTTACCTCTACCAATAGGAGGAGATGATACTAACTTGAATCATTGTACTACAACAAACGAACACGCACGAAATACTTCTACTTCTTCAAAGAATTAGATATCATTGTCTACAGATAACGAGACGATAGCACAAATTCGTGAGTTTGATATAAAAGTGGACGGTAGCTCATCTATTATTCAGCAGCATCTCAATCGATCAATTGCAGAATTATTGGATTCATTCTTTTCTTTCTCAAAAGTAGACGCTCACAATGAAATATATTATCTATCTTCTTCCTTTTCATCCATGCATATGAGTGAAGTTATCCAAGGAGAACGTCAGCTCATAGATGAAGTATGAGGGTGCGAGATTGGGATGTGAGGTTGAGATATCATATTCACTCTCACCCTCGCCCACATCCTCTCAGTGTCTATGCTGCTTACTGTAAAACTGTCTAGTTGGGTGTAAGAAAAGACTATGAGATTCTCTCATCTGCACTCTCATTCATTAATTTACGTCTATTATCTAGCAAATTGGCCTATCAGTTCAATGAATATTGACGACTTCTGTGGTAACTGAATTTGTCACTTCGAGAAGAATCTTATGAAATTTTATCAAACGAATAATAAATTCAATCGTTATAACCCAATATTTATTTTAATTATGATCTCCAAAATATTTTAAGATATGAAAGATATTGAGAAAATAAAAATCCAGAAAAAACAATTCGAAATTGTAAGAAAAAGAGAATATTCTTTCCCATTAGAATATCCCAATTGTATTTTTCTATGATTACTTTCTTGATGAATTATTTAATTAAAAAGTCGGAGATGATCTGGACCAGATGCAATAACTGTAAATTCTCCTGTTTGACCTTGAGAATATGTTGTAACAAGCAAAGTATATGGAGTACCGGCTTGGAGATTATGTGATAATTTAAATTGACGATTACTATCAATCGTATTAATAGATGAAACTAAGTATAAACTTAGATTCAAAGATTTGAATTCATCCATAAAAAGAGCAGCAAAAGTATCCATATTACTTCTACTTGTGAAAGTGTAAAGTCCTGATGTATTGACAATGATATTAATTGTTTTATAGTATCTAGTTGTTCCTGGAATTGTTGCACTATTGACTGTTAATGCATTTGAATAATTAGAATGAATAGAAATCGGTACAAATTCTGTTGTTGTTAATGTTGGTAGAAAGGTTGTTGTTATTGTTGACGATGAAGATGCTAGAGATCGATAATGGATAACAAAGAGGAGATGGATTACACCAAGGATGATGAACACATACATGACCAGTTGTTTCGCAGATATCACCTGGTGATTGACATGGTTGTAATCGTGAACAGCTTAAATCAAGAAGAGCACAAATGCCAATATTATTAGATACTGATAATTGTAAACACCCACATCCATTATTTGATGAGCATAAATCATATTGAGACTTACTATGACATATTTGACCATTAATATTAACTACCAAATATATTATTTTATTGAAATATATTAAAAAGAAAATGCAAACCTATCAAACTGAAATAGCATGATTCAATGTTACAGATTTTAAAATATAGAAAAGATATTTTTTTACCTTAGAAGAATGAAAATAGAATAATGAATTGATATTGATACCATGGTGGACAATATAATTGAATAAAAAATATGTGATAGTATCTCTCACTTGTATACTCAATAGATCAATGTTCTTATAATTCTGTTTGTGTTAATCTCCAGAAAGCCCTAATAGTGAAGTTTTAATTAATCGGTAATCAATACAGAATGAACGATATACTTTATTTCGATGACGTGACAAAAAAGAAGGATCAAAAAATAAATGACATGACACATTGATTAAAAAATGTGCTTAGCATGCCTATAAGGTTACTTTTTGAAAATTTGCTTGTTAGAATGATGTATAGGCATAGTACATTTTTCTACAACGTCTTGGCAAGATCAGAGTGAATACGATAGTGATGATGGAGACGAGAACTAAACTAATAACGAGAATGTACTAATGTGAACATAATAGTGGTCCGTTTGTGTTAGGTGTTTCGCATTCAGCAAGGGAAAATTTGAATGGATGAGTAGGTGAGCGATTAGAATTCTACATCGATCCAGATAATTGTGTCTGCATATTTATTTTCATTTTTTGACTTTAATTCAGGACTCAGCTTCCGAGAATATTGATGGGTGGGTGTGGGTGTGGGTGTCGATCTTGAATGTGGATGAGAAAAAGGATACACCGACACTCACACCCAAGAAATGGTTTTTTGTTTTTAAAATATCAACATACTTTAATCTTTGCAAGCGTCTATCAATCCAACAAGTTCTTTGAGTGATAATATCAATTGTTAAACCCAATAGTCGAGCTACATCAATACCATTCATTTTAAGAAAATTATTTCCATTTAAATTCATTCTTTCAATCTGAATAAAATAAATAGCTAATTAATAGATCAATAGCAATATAATTTGGTTGTGATAAATATCTTGAATTGTTATACAATAGCAACCATCTAATTCACTAACACAAATATCAAGTGTATCCAATACTTGATATAATTTTCGTTCAATCTGATCAATAGCTAATGCACGTAAAAAAAAACCGTATTCCATTGAAATTCATTTGATGAATTTTATTAAAATATATAATTTTTGATCTTTCCAATCACATGTTATACTTGATAATTCCATAAAATCACGTAAAATTGTTAATTCATTTTTTTCATCCAGACCAATAGCACGAACATAATATTTATTTGTGCAATATATATATGTGAAACAATGGTTCCTAAATCAATAGAAATCAATTTTATCTTCTTAGTAGAAAAAAAAGAACATAAGATTTAATCATACCTGGTATGACACATACATTGATGTCTAAATAATAATTGAAATTAGAAGTTTCAATTTAAAAAAAAATGATGTTTTATTGAAAGATAATATCTACGAACAGTATAAACCTGTGCTTTTTTGCATGGAGTAGTGGTAGTGAATGTCATACAGATAGAATAGACCTTAGAGAATAACTTCAATGATTTCAATATGATGTAAAAGAAAATAAATGAAAACTCGAAAACTACAATCGTATTACTCTCAAATCTATATGAATCAAAGTTATGCATTTTATCAGTATACTATTACGTATACGAACAATAACAGTGATATTAAAGCATATTATGATGGCTATGGATTGATCCATGCTTATCATCTACATATTTTGTTAGGCATTTTATTCCATTTTATGTCAAAGTTTCTGCTCAATGAAATTCTAATGCAATCATTAAATTATGCTAAATATTGACGGAAAATGAACATGTGCAAGTGGACTCTCCTGAGTTCTTAATTAAGATATATTAATCTCAATCCGACGGATGAATTTCGATTGGATTCAACTTGCCAATATCTACTGACTGATTTAAATCTCGCTCATTCTTTTTTATTTACATCCACATGAGATAACCAGCCGAACTGATATTCGGTAGTTGAGCTCTTGATAAGGTTAGGAAAACTCTAAAAGGTTTTGTCTCCATAGCCTTTGCATATATACCGAAAAGTCAAAAACCAGAATTCTAAGCTAAGACTTTACTGATATATAGATCCAATAATTCGTGGAATGTTCTGAGATTTTCAGTCAAAACGAGTGTTCTTTTGTTGCGATGTTGAATTTCCAAACAATAATCGTTGACATAGGCATCATGCAAATATCAAGTGAATTTGAAAATTGAATATCTCGACAAAGTAAAACATTCTGTGATTTCCGATACGTATGTAAAAGCTGGATCGAATATTTAGTAAAACAATCCTAACTCGACTCCAAAGATCCGTTGAGAACGAACTCGTTTAGAATTTCTCTAGTTTTACCAAGGTATTCTGATAGGTGCCATGAAAGCTCAAATAGCAGATATCATTTCGATTGGTTTTGTTCTTAAGTCATTGCATGCGTTAGTTCTTATCCTAGTAATGAAATTGGTACCAGTACAGATTTCAAACCGATTAATCACCGATAGACCGATTGCATCTCTGTCCTATTCTACTCAGTCCATTTTTTGTTCCATAAAAGTAACTGCTCTCATGATAAAGTATTGAAAATATTGTTTTTAAATCGAAAAATTCTTGATATATAAATATCTCATCCCAACAATTTTTCTAATTTCATGCTAATTTATAACCCGTTCGACATTTATATCGAAAAGAAGTTAATGAATTAACACAACCCCATGTGCATCACCACTTGAAATTATCAAGATTTTTTTTTTGAAATTCTTACCACAACTAGGTGGTTCATCACTTCCATCAGTATGATTTCTTACATCATTACATACAACTTCATATAATATACATTCTTTATTTCGACATTGAAATCATGCCCGATGGACATTGTTCTGCTCGACAGAATGATGGTTTTTCATCTGTATTATCATGACAATCATTACGAAAGGAAAAACAATAACATCTTAGTTATGAAGAGTTTAGTGAAAAAATAGAACAACATTATTATAATTGCTTAATATCACTGAAGACAATATCAGTTGAAGTTTTACGGTGTATTTTGAAGCATGCATGCACAATAATATGCATACACTCGAACGATAAATACTGGAATCATTCAGAATTATTTGACCCATACCTATAATATTAACTGGATAACATCGTATACCGATAGCTATTTCACATATTGATTTTCAAATCAATTGCAGAAATATACATAGAGAACGGTAGATTGTGTTAGAAAAATGAACACGACACTTTTCAAAGTTCAACCCATGCCCGCCTGCGGGTGAGATCAGGTTGCAGGATTCTACACGACATTCTTTTAAAAAATACTGTAAAACTGTAGTATCTACACAATAATAAATTGATGATATGAATTCTTTCACGATATTCATAACTTGTTTTCGACTCAAAAGCGATTTATCAGATGAATGAGTTTCCTCCTTCAGTTCATTTCGATAAGAGATAACGGTATGTGGTACATCTCTATCTCTTTCATTCTTATCATCAATCTATAATGTTAACAAATGTCTGAATGATTGATGCTGTTGATTCTACGTAGCTTTTATTTATTTCGAAGAAGATATAACTATCTTAGTCTATCAACTATCGTTTGCATCACATTAGAAAAAAAAATCAGATATGAATCGTTTTATTTTTTTGGATTACACGGCTTCATTGATTAATCATAAGTCACTGAGGAGTAGAATACTTTTCCATCATAATAAGCACTAACAATAACATTGTCTGAGTTACACTTCAAACTCAAGAATCTAATTTCTTTTAGAAAGATTAAAGAAAACAGCATTATAATGGCTGTTTTTCATTATGAAGGCTGTATTGAAGCACTTGCAAAAAATTAAGTCAATAAACATACAGCAAGTACAAGTCGATGGGTGTCAACACTTTCTTTTATTGAATATTGGAAAAGATTTTACGTATGATATGAATTATTTGCATTATTTTATTATTATTTATTTCATCTTTTATTTGGTTTTGATTTAATTACTTGTAATTCATATAAAACACATACAAAATGTGTTAGTGAATTAGAAAAAAAATTGTGATGCAAATTATACAGCACCAACAAAATCAACTGTTTGAAATAGTTCAATCAGTTATTAATCTTAATTCTGTTAGTACACAAGCACAAGTTTTATTAAAAATAATCATTTCGAATCTACAGAATTTTGTGAATAACTCAATCAAAGGTTTTCCATCTCGAGTAATACTACTGATCAAAATTAATAAAAACCATAAGGTTGGAACTGAAAATTATACACTACTTTAACCTTATGGCACTTGGATCTCCACCATACGATCCTTCTGGTTTGTTAGTTAAATATCTAGCCTTTTTACTGTGAAGATTTTTTATGAAGTCACCTTCACCTAGTTGAGTCTTATGTTTCTATTTAAGAATCATTTGTCAAAAGCATATCAGTGTCTATAGATAAATGAACTCTAATTCAAACAGATTTCAACCGTTTTTTCTGAAATTTCTTTTGAAGAACTTTCCATAAATTAGAGATTAATAGCTATTGCTGAATAGAAGTTATTGAAGAAATTTGATGCCAATACTGCAAGGCTCATAGCTAGTTGAAATCCTAATCTGAAACAAATATTTATATCAAAAAGGAACGAAAATGATGTTAAGAAAACTTTTGGCTGGCTCTCTATGATTTCGTCAATTGAAAGTTAAATTTTGATTAATAAATGCACTAATAAGTGTCTAATTTCTAGTATAGAAATGTTACTTGTATTCTTTGAAATGCCGACGTATAACAAGCCTTAAACTATTGGCATCAAGTTTGTCCGATAACTGCTGCTGAAAATGATAATAATCAAGCAGTACTATCGAATTCTCATTTTGAATGGTATGATGAAATTAAACTTGCATTAAGTAAAACAACTGATCAAACAGTTACTTTAGATACTCCAAAGAGAAAACAATTATGTGAAAAAAAATCGAAAGCAGTTTAGTCTTTATCATATCTTTATTTTTTATTTTTTCAAACGATATAACAAATTGGAAAAGAAAATTCAACGTGCACCATTTGTTCAACATATTGAAGATAATACGTATTGATTGTCTTAATGAATAGATTTTTTGGGTTAAAAAAACTTCGTTGTTATACTTGAAATTTCTAAAAAATTGATATGTTCTAGTAATTATTTGAGTTTTTTTAGATAAATAAATAAATGAAAGCAAATGGTAATATCTCTTAATTAAGACTTATCTTTTTCGAATGAATCGACATTTAAACGTTGACTAAGATTAACTATTTTTTGGTACTTCAAAATGTTAAAAAACCTAATATAAATACCTGGTTTAAACAAGTGTGTATATATGTATAGTTAACTTACTGCTTTCAATGTTTAAATCGAACAGTTGTTTCTTTTACATCATTCAAAATTTGTTGAATTAATTTTTTACAGAAGAATGTAGAAAATCAATTTATTTTGCATAAAACATTTATAATTGACTAGATGGTATTCGAGTTTCACTTGCCTGTAAAATCTGGTTCAAAGCTGTCATTTTCAGACATGGTAGTGTAAAGGTGTGAATGAGGATATGAAGAGAAAACCTATACGTACAATACTCTAAACATAAAATTCGAATTCATCATCACTTCTCTTGGTTTTTAACTTTATTTCAATCGATTTAACATCGATATCGATTCATATAACTATTTTCAATTTTTGCTCTTAAGATATAATAAAAACATCTAAACCTTAATGTGTTACTCTTTTTCTTGTTAAGTTGAGTGATAATTATAAATTATTGATAAATAAAAAGCTACTTTTTTTTAATAAAATGTTTTCATATCCATAGCAGAGATACACGATAGAGATGTATAGAATGACGATCATCACGACGATTAATATCCATATTATTTGAAAGTTTCAAAAAGCATCTATAAATCAGCGGTATAAAATTTGCTCTCACTACGGGTAATATCTGAGCACGTAATTCTCTACCAAATGAGGCGTTTCTAAGCTCTCTACGACGATTCTTGGGCAAACCATATGAACTTTAAAGAAAACCTACAGCAACATTTTTTTGTCAAGACTTTATTTTCCCAATGATCACTAGCGTGAATAAATTACCGTAACAAAAATTA